CCTCCTGGGTTCAGGCAATTCTCCTGCCTCAGCCTCCTGAGTAGCTGGGATTACAGGCACGCACCACCATGCCCAGCTAATTTTTTGTATTTTTAGTAGAGACGGGGTTTCACCGTGTTGACCAGGATGGTCTCGATCTCTTGACCTCGTGATCCACCCGCCTCGGCCTCCCAAAGTGCTGGGATTACAGGCTTGAGCCACCGTGCCCGGCAAGTTTACTTTTTTAAAGTGAGAAAGTAACATTTCATTAGCAAAAAGGCCAAGCGAATTTTTGTAAAAGACACAATTGGGGATCTAAAAATTAACACATGAATCATTGAAACTTAAAACTCAGTGAATCAATTTGAATTGGCAATGTAAGACTGCAATCATGATTTTTAAAAAATATTTTCCATCTTCATCCGTTGAAGTCTTAGAAATAACCAGTCCAGCAGCAATGAACGTGCTAATGACAGATGACAGATTACTGTCTCTAAATACCGTCTTTTACCACACAGAACCTGGGCTCCTTGGAGCATCTTGGAATTAGGACAGAAAGTATGCATTATATACATTGAAAAAGCTGGCATATTAAAAAAGCAAAGAAGCTATTCAAGACTCTTAGGGTCATGTCAAATAGACTCAGGAACCATTGTGAAGAGTGTCCTATTGGCTTAAGTTGGGACAAGTTGAGCATGAATTCAAGAATAATAACTGTAATCATTGTAATATAATTACAATAATCACATCAAATATTTTTAAAATCTGTGTGTTCATAAGGACAGTTTTTAAATTACCTGGTAATTTTGGGGGATGAGATGAGGAATGGCTGCTAACATCACAAAAAGAGAAACAACCAGACGTGCTTCTTGATGAAATACACAATAGTTTATAGGAAAGAAAGGAATAAAGGGAAGGGAGCTACATGTTAAACAGCAGATGATCCAGTTTCTTCAACATATAAATTTCAAGGAGAAAAGGAGAGAAAAAGAAGTTAACAACAAAACCTCGCCAGAATGTTTAAATAATTGGAAACCCAAAAGGAAGGTTAACAGTCATAAAGAAAAGTCAAAGATCTCATTGGGCTTCCTGGAAGTAATACTGAAAGAACAGGGATCAAACCATATTCAAGATGGAACAGCTAAAATTTATTCAGAAGTGATGAGATTTTCTAAAAAAAGATCTGAGTCAGGTACCATAAGTGCCATGGATGGTAAATTTTAAAAGTTCTACAGGGCGAGGCACGGCGGCACATGTCTGTAATCTCAGCACTTTGGGAGTCTGAGGCAGGTGGATCACTTGAGGTCTGGAGTTCAAGACCAGCCTGGTCAATATGGCAAAACCACAATGTTACTAAAAATGCAAAATAAGGCAGGCACGGTGGTGCACACCTGAATTCCCAGCTACTCAAAAAAAAAAAAAAGTGAGTGAGGCTGGGTGCGGTAGCTCACACCTGTACTCCCAGCACTTTGGGAGTCCAAGGCAGGTTGATCACTTGAGGTCAGGAGTTCAAGACCAGCCTGACCAACATGGTAAAACCCTGTCTCTACTAAAAATACAAAAATTAGCTGGGCATGTTGGCACGCACTTGTAATCCCAGCTACTCAGGAGGCTGAGGCAGGAGAACTGCTTGAACCCAGGAGGCAAAGGTTGCAGTGAGCCAAGATTGTGTCACTGCACTCCAGCCTGGGTGACAGAGTAAGACATCGTCTCAAAAAAAGAAGAAGAAAAAGTGAATGAATATCCGTTGATGTATGAAATGGCCACATCAAAGGAAAATTAGCTAAGAAAAGACAAAAAGAAGTCAAGGATCAGTGTGAAAAATAAATATGTCTTAAAAGATTAAAAATATATATATCTATGAGCTTAAATTTCAAAGGGAAAGAAGAAGCTCTAAGATACAGGCAACAGGATGGCTCCTGAAGAAGGAAACTTTATTCTTTGAAATCGGAAGAAATTATGACAAGAGGTGGAGGTAAAAGGGGGTTCTTGGCTGGGCGCAGTGACTCACACCTGTAATCCCAGCACTTTGGGAGGCCAGAGCAGGTGGAACATCTGAAGTCAGGAGTTCGAGGCCAGCCTAGCCAACATGGTGACACCCCATCTCTACTAAAAATACAAAAATTAGCTGGGTTTGGTGGTGGAAGCCTATGATGCCAGTTCCTCCAGAGACTGAGGCAGGAGAATTGCTTCAATCGCGGGGCAGAGGTTGCAGTAAGCCAAGATTGTGCCACTGTACTCCAGCCGGGGCAACTGAGCAAGACTCTTTCTCAAAGAAATTTAAAAAGTTGGGGGTGGGCATCTCGACTTTTTTCCATGTGTCTTAGGCCACAACGCTTGGATGGGACTTTATGGAAGAGATTCCTCCATAAATATTTTTATGGTGCTGCCCCTCTGATGGGCTGGATTCTAAACAGCAGTGCCTTCCCCATCTGCTCAGTCCTTACTCACCTGGGCACCATCCTCCCAAGACGTCCCTTGAAACCATCCAGGGCTCTTTCCCTTGCTCCAGTAAGGAAATCACATCAGGCTTTGGGATAGAGAGACCTGTTTATAAGAAAAGAAGTAAGATGGTCAGGCATGGTGGCTCATTTCTGTAATCCCAGCACTGTAGGAGGCCAAGGTGGGTGGATTGCTTGAGGTCAGGAGTTGAAGGCCAGTCTGACCAACTTGGTGAAACCCTGTCTCAACTAAAAATATAAAAATTAGCCGGGCGCGGTGGCTCAAGCCTGTAATCCCAGCACTGTGGGAGGCCGAGGCGGGTGGATCACGAGGTCAAGAGATCGAGACCATCCTGGTCAACATGGTGAAACCCC